CCATAATACTGGGTAACTGTGGACTATTTTAGTTTTCCTTTAGATTAAACGATTCTTTCGTTATCAGCCTGGAACCCATAACTTCTCAGTCAACAGCCTACCCGAAGTTTACTACAGCACGGGGCGTATGTACGGCGCTGTATGTACTGAGTTCCTGAACATTTAGAAGTCATAGAATATGTTCAACTCGAGACAGATAAAACATTTTTCAAACGGAGAAAGACCATAATACTGGGTAACTGTGGACTATTTTAGTTTTCCTTTAGATTAAACGATTCTTTCGTTATCAGCCTGGAACCCATAACTTCTCAGTCAACAACCTACCCGAAGTTTACTACGGTCTGTGTCTATATGCACGGGGCGTATGTACGGTGCTGTATGTACTGACTTCCTGAACATTTAGAAGTCATAGAATATGTTCAACTCGAGACAGATAAAATATTTTTCAAACGGAGAAAGACCATAATACTGGGTAACTGTGGACTATTTTAGTTTTCCTTTAGATTAAACGATTCTTTCGTTATCAGCCTGGAACCCATAACTTCTCAGTCAACAACCTACCCGAAGTTCACTACGGTCTGTGTCTATATACACGGCGCTGTATGTACTGACTTCCCGAACATTTAGAAGTCATAGAATATGTTCAACTCGAGACAGATAAAAACATTTTTCAAAACGGAGAAAGACCATAATACTGGGTAACTGTGGACTATTTTAGTTTTCCTTTAGATTAAACGATTCTTTCGTTATCAGCCTGGAACCCATAACTTCTCAGTCAACAACCTACCCGAAGTTCACTACGGTCTGTGTCTATATACACGGCGCTGTATGTACTGACTTCCTGAACATTTAGAAGTCATAGAATATGTTCAACTCGAGACAGATAAAACATTTTTCAAACGGAGAAAGACCATAATACTGGGTAACTGTGGACTATTTTAGTTTTCCTTTAGATTAAACGATTCTTTCGTTATCAGCCTGGAACCCATAACTTCTCAGTCAACAACCTACCCGAAGTTTACTACGGCCCGTGTCTTTATGTACGGCGATGTATGTACTGAGTTCCTGAACATTTAGAAGTCATAGAATATGTTCAACTCGAGACAGATAAAACATTTTTCAAACGGAGAAAGACCATAATACTGGGTAACTGTGGACTATTTTAGTTTTCCTTTAGATTAAACGATTCTTTCGTTATCAGCCTGGAAACCATAATTTCTCAGTCAACAACCTACCCGAAGTTTACTACGGCCTGTGTCTATATGCACGGGGCGTATGTACGGTGCTGTATGTACTGACTTCCTGAACATTTAGAAGTCATAGAATATGTTCAACTCGAGACAGATAAAACATTTCTCAAACGGAGAAAGACCATAATACTGGGTAACTGTGGACTATTTTAGTTTTCCTTTAGATTAAACGATTCTTTCGTTATCAGCCTGGTAACCCATAACTTCTCAGTCAACAACCTACCCGAAGTTCACTACGGTCTGTGTCTTTATACACGGCGTCTGTATGTACTGAGTTCCCGAACATTTAGAAGTCATAGAATATGTTCAACTCGAGACAGATAAAACATTTTTCAAACGGAGAAAGACCATAATACTGGGTAACTGTGGACTATTTTAGTTTTCCTTTAGATTAAACGAGTCTTTCGTTATCAGCCTGGAACCCATAACTTCTCAGTCAACAACCTACCCGAAGTTTACTACGGTCCGTGTCTATATACACGGCGCTGTATGTACTGACTTCCTGAACATTTAGAAGTCATAGAATATGTTCAACTCGAGACAGATAAAACATCTTTCAAACGGAGAAAGACCATAATACTGGGTAACTGTGGACTATTTTAGTTTTCCTTTAGATTAAACGATTATTTCGTTATCAGCCTGGAACCCATAACTTCTCAGTCAACAACCTACCCGAAGTTTACTACGGTCCGTGTCTATATACACGGTGCTGTATGTACTGAGTTCCTGAACATTTAGAAGTCATAGATTATGTTTAACTCGAGACAGATAAACCATTTTTTCAAACCGAGAAAGACCATAATACCCGGGTAACTGTGGACTATTTTTACGCGACAATCTATTTATTTAGCATGTCCATGTTAGGAAAACACGGGGTATGCCCGCTTCTGTTGTTATGGCGTAATAAATGGAACACGTCCTTGCTTATTTGACATCAGATTTGTTTCGCTTGCTTGTAATTAGTGAATAAAAATTAAGGAGGCTGAACTCCCCATTCTAGTTTTAATCTTGTACTTTTTCGGTGCATACCAGGGATTCCCTTAATAACGGGTCGGGGACGGAAATATCTGGCACGGGTTTGCTAGTTTATTTGTTTACTTGTCCTAACGAGTGACTTGGGGACTCATTAATTCTTTTCTTCAAGATACTGTATAAGTTTAAAGCATTAACTTGATGTATTTCATGATGCTTACACGATATTTTGTACAGACTGCCTTTACAAACTGGACCAAAGGGTTTCAAACATGTGATTCTTTACTTAAATAGTGTTTCAAACGCCTTGACTGGCCTTGGCCAAACTATCAATGTGTCGCGATATTCGGCGCTTTCACTTGTAAAATGGATAATTAGCAACATAAGAGTGGCAAGCGAGAGGGAGTGGGGGGGGGGGTTCCACACCTTTTGTTCGTTGATTAGTACTGAATAATAGATAATGAATGAATGAATGAAGACCTTTATTGTACATTTGTGTTCTACAGAACTAAGTACAGGTCGCATGGGTACAGAACATGAACATAAACATATACATTGCAAATATATGAACATATAAGAATGTAAATAAATGTCTAATTTCTATTATAATAATCACATCATACAATAAGGTAATAGGCCTGTATTGTTTACAATACACATTCGCGCGCTTGCCCCACAAATGATTAGCCCATTCAACGGAGAAGACCTACAAGTACACTTACCTTTTACATATTCTGTCAACTCACATGATTCCCGGTCTTGTGTAATCACGAATCACATTAATTTCACATTTATTTCACATGTCAAAAATGTGATTTGATGTCACATTTTTCACATTTTGCGTTTTCGTGAACATCACATAAATTTCACATTTCGCGGAATGTCAGATGTCTTCACATCTTTTCACATTTTGTAGTCAAACTCATTTCACATAACTTTCACATAAAGACACATTTTTAAAAATGTGACTCAGGTTAACATTGTTTCACATTTTCACTGAGAGTACGTTTCACATAAAAATCACATAGGCATCGGCGGAAAAAGAACATACAGGCAGTCACATAATTTCACATAATGGGAGGAGATCCAACATCACATTTAGATAACATCTTTTCACATTTGAAAATGTGATTTTTCTGGACCGTTCACTGCAAATGTGAAAAAAATGTGACGCAAAATAATAACATTTTTTCACATAAAGGTGTCGCGCTTCAGAAATGTTATTTTATATGATTTTCTGTGAACTTATGTGATAAAATGTGATGCTGTTGAACCTCAAAAAAATTCACATTACATCACATTTTTTCAAATTTCCTTGAAATTTTGCACGAAATTCACATAATTTTCACATTTATGCACCTGGTAGTGTAGTATGTGTGTAAAATAAAGGTCTTTATTCATTCATTGATGACAATACTAATAAATAGTCTTCATGAGCACAGTAAATACTAGGTTACATGCATTCAATAGATTTTTTTCCAAATTGAAAGTCTTCTTTTGCCCTGTGCGTATACGCATAACTTATCATTATTGTCGTATACGTATAGGTACATGCAGGCATAGCGTTCTTTCTGACAACAGTAAATAGCTGCTCTGGTTGCTTTTACGACAGTTAAGTTTTTCTTTACTACGAAACTAGTATGATGAAAGATCATATCCTCCTAGGTTAAACTTAAAAATGCCAACAGAAAATGGCCTGCTCCATTCCTTACCTCTAACAGTTGCATAATAGGTGTGCCCAGAGAACAGCCGGAGACCATGTACTGTTGCCATGTTCGTCACACCAACATCCATGAAGTCCTGAACGTCGACACCATTGGGACTGGTACCTGTCAAGAGAATACAGTTGTATCAATTTCGCTTTCTGATAATCAATATCGGTACAAGCTCACCCTACAAAGTTTAAGTGGCTGCTAATACTTCAATGGCCGAGTGGTTAGGATAGAGGACACGAGACCTGTAGGAGGTCAAGGGTTCGATTCCCCAGCATTTGGCAAGATTTTCTGGCAAAACGTTGTATCCGTGAAAAAAGGCTCTGTAACGGTTAAACTGACTCCACACAGGTGTAACATTCGTACCTGACTTCGGTTGGGGAGGTTAAAGGCGGTGGGAGGAGAGGGGTTCCAATGCCATGCCTTGTGCACAATTGAGAAAGCCCCCTCCACAATGAGTACTTACCAACAGCAACTTCATACTTGTGAACAACGCTATGGTGAGACGACATGCCGTGCTCCTCCACGTCACGAAACGTGTTCCAGTAGACTGTCATCTCTGAGGTTGATGTCTGACAGGAAAGACGTTGTTAATGTCATGTCTGTGTGTGGTGGAAATGTTTGGGAGTAACGAACTATTACTGTGCGGATCCAAGCATACCTTTTGTTTGTTTCTTTGATTATTTGCACAAACATTTTATCAAGTACACAATTGTGTAGGATGCATGAGGGGGCCGGGGGAAGAAGCCTACATAGCAAACATGCTTGTAAATAGCTCTACATGTTCCAAACGAAACAAATGATAATAAATAAACTATTATGATTGGAAATGAATTAAAGTAAAGCGAAGATACAGCAAAGAAAGTTAATACATATTAAGGGATATCGTGGAACTAACATAGTAATTGAAAATGGATCACATAAGTATATTTCCATTCGTATACGCTACGATTACCAAGTACAACATATTTATTCTTTGTCGGGTTACGTTGGTAGTGCATGATTATGTAAACACAGTTGAGTCACATATCACACCTTACCTGGAACTGCCCGTCCTTGTGGTTGACCCATACCTGACCCGGTAGTGGAGGGGTAAGATCCACGGTGATGCCAATAGAACAGGAATCTACCTCATCCAGGCTCTGGTCGAACAACTCGAAATGCAGAACTGTCGCGTTAGCGTGGACACAGATGTGGTACCTCCTGCCGTGTAGTAACTCTATGCCTGGGACGTTAACAAAGTTTTCCTGAAATAAGATAATGTATGTAAGTAACTGTCTTGTTGACTTACCTTGTAGACTGATGGCTAGTCTTACAGGGTTTAGAAGATCAGTAATGTCTCTCATCTGCTAACGTTTGCATGCCTATCAGGCCATGTTGATTGGACATCCCATGTGAACCCGAAACTGACGCGAGCGTTTGAATAATAAAAGTTTAGCAAAAAAAGTTTCCTTCATTATGAAATACGTGTTCATAAAGGTTTAACAAAAGAGTCGACACACAGCTAGTAAGGTAAAGAGAATAATGATATGAATCTTTATTGTATGTTCTTGCCCAGATGGGCTAAATGCACATGCTGATGTTATCCATAAAGTCAAATCAACATGGCCTCAAAAAATATCCAATAGCCAATGTTCTAGCAATCTGAGGAAATGTTTGCAGTATGACAATCCTACACCTTTACATACCGTCGTCGTGATGTCAAATCTCACCTCAGTTTCTCCACAAGCCAAAACCTGCGGGGCGCTGCAGTCGTAATCAGAGTACCGCAGAGCATGACGGGAGGCAACATAAGCCCAGTTCTGTATGGACTCGTCAGAGACAACCTTCCACCTGTAGTGCCCGTGTCGCAGTGTGGGCCAGACCGCCGACAGCTTGTCACGGGCGGGCGTGAACTCCTGGTCGGGTAGAGGCCACCTCTCATTTTGCGCGAGGTGCACATCGCTACATGTTAACAATTGGGAGATTTCATTACTTTCTGGATTAATGATACATCGGACTATCGACAGGCAAGGGAAAGTAGGTAAAATACATTTTACAAAAAGCTATGAATCATTCCTTTTGTTTTTTTTCATCTTGGTTAACAAAAATATTTTAGCTGCCAAGTCTCTTTCCCAATTTCCTATTCAAGTCCAC